GATATTGTGTTTTTTTCTTTTTTTTTTTTTAATAACTGGGGTGGTGGTGATGGGGGTTAGGGTAGGGGTTGGTGGGATGTACCTAATTTTTGAAAGAAATTTTTTTTTGCATCTTATTATTGAAATGAAAAGTTAAAAGGTAAGATTTGAGGAAATTTCACAAAGATTATACTCCATAAATAGAATATATGGACTGCCTCATTCACAATGGACTAAGTGGCCTATTATTTAGTGAAAATTAGGTCCTATAAACCATTTTTTATTTAAGAATGTTAAAATTATATTCACCACCTTCTACTATCTCTCTAAATATGGATATTTTATGGGTGCTGCTATTTATATCCACAGTTTATATATATATACTATTGAAATATTAAAATGTTAAAAAATTATTATTTTCATCCATGTCAAATTTCAATATTGTCCTTATTAAATTCATTCATTTAAACATTATAAATTCATACAAACTTTATATAACTATTCCACCATAAATACATTCCTGATACAATTTCAAAAAATTCAAAAAACCACTATATTTATCCAATAACTATTAACATTTAATCTGGTTCTTAATTTTCATTTTTTATATTGTCATGTAGGTGCTTTAATATTTAGTTATAAATGTTAACAAATCTCTCTCTTTTTTTTTTTTTTTTTGAATTTATACTACTCAAGCAAACAAGCAAATTCCTCCTAAAATTATATGTTATATATATATTCATTTTGAAATTTCTCATATATTTTCATCTATCAAACCAATACTTAAAAAAACAATTCCATTTTTCATATCACGAAAGAATTACAATTTTTTTTTTAAATTTCTGTTGAAGAGAATATTTTATGATTAGAGTTTTATGATTTTAGATTAAGATGGTATTTTATTATTATTAGAATTTTAGTTAAACACAATCTCTAAAAGAATATAAAAAGGTTTAAAAGAATTTATAAAATAAATATTAGTGAATGAAGTTAGAACGATGTTGATGTGTACAATTGCTGTGTAGCCCGACCATTCACAACCTCATGCTCCAGGTCATGGTAACCTCGAGCACTTTTATATGGCTTGAAATCCTCGAGCTTATATGGTCGAGTTTGTCACTATCTTCCTTAGGCCAAAATATCGTCTGGCTTGCAAAAGCGAGCTTGAACTTGAGTTTGAAGTTCCTACTCGAACTATACAGCTTGATCTTTCCCCCACACATTTACTCAAGCACAAGGTCGGACTTCATGTTAAGGTCGGGCCTATGCCTCAAGGATTGAGGTCAAACTACAGGCTTAGGTCGGGCTTCATGAGATCGGGCTCCAAAAACGTCAATCCTGCTTTGACTACAACTCTTTATGGCATTTATCTTCTTTCAAATCACTTATTTATAACAGTTTGACTCAAATTAAAACAAAACACTTTTATTATAACAAAACACCCTACATGATAAGGATAAGGGTTAGAGATCGTTGAATTCTTTTACAACTTTACTACTAACATCTATAAATACATAACCAAAACTCATTGCTAAGGTACGTTTTTTCATACAATTTCAGTATACGTTCTGATACAAATTCCCTATTTGACTTAAGTGTCAAAGGGGGACGAGAACAGGCCTCGTTGCCTTTGTTTCGAGTACTACCGTTCATGCTCTTTCCCAGTCCTCAAGCTTGGGAGATCTACCAGACCCAACACCAACCCGCATTACCACTATAGCAAATAAACAAGTAGGAACCACGAACTCCATGACCTTTGTCGACAACATCATCCATTATTGCCACCACCCATTAGAAATAAAACCCTACAAATACAATTTTAAATAATCTCATTGCAAGTAAGAAATTACCAAATCTATTCGATTTTAGGATAGACAATTACAATTATATTATAATTAAATAATACCTTAAGGCCTGTTTGACATAGATTTTTGGATAATTGAATTTATGAAAATGGATCTTTTTGGAAAATATATAGTTAAAAGATAGAAAAAAGTTTTTGATCCACATGCAAAATTATATTACTAAAAGAATGTGTAATCGAAAATAAGTTTAAAGAAAAATGAGTTTTAAAGAATACATATAAAAAATGTAAAGAAAGTATGTTTCTTGAATAGCTTCCATTTCATTTAAAATAAAAAATAAAAAAATTAGTAGATTTTGATAAAAGTTGTTAAAATGTATGCTAAAAATTTATAAATCTCATAAATATGTGTAAAATTAATTTAAACTTATTTCTAGCTAAGCCAAACATAGCTATAATGTGTTCTCATTCAACAACCATTGCAAATTGCAAGCATAAGACAAAGGCATCAGTTGGGGGTTCTTGATCACTGGTCAATTTGGGGCACAACATACGGTTTAATCTGTCTGCAGCTTGAGGGGCCAAGGTGTAGACTCCAGAATTTAGTCACTGTAAGGTGGATACCTGATATCAAAAAAAAAAGTATAAGACAAAGGATTTTGCTCATTGTACATAAAAATGGTACATAAGCAGTTATAAAAAATGATGTAGAGGGAAATGATTGGATAAAAAAGTTGACTATGTTTTTAACTGATAAATAGTAAAGTGTCATGTGGATATTATTTATTTTCTTATATAAATTTTTATGTACATGTAGCAAGATCCTAAGACAAATATATATCAATGTTTTTCGTCCCTATTTGGTCCCCATTAAATTAAAATTAATTTTTTCTCTCTTCTTATCAATCACGTATTTTTCAATAAAATAATATTACATGTAACCCTACAAAAAATTTCTTTCTTTCTAATAATACATTTTTCAAAAAATTACTACTCTTTTCATTATAATTTGAAAAAATGGAGACCAAACAATGGCAATCTTTCAATCCGAAACCACAAAATGAACAGTTAGGAGGGAGAGTCAAGTGATCAGTTGGACCGTTGACTTGGCTTTTGACTCAGTTGGAGACATGACTTTTGTTTCTAATTTTTCTATAGATTGATTGGTTAGAGCAATCGTCACGTCATTCATTTTGAATATCCAAACCCTACCTTGAACTTCTCCCCTTCTAATTGCACACTAGTCCCCAATCTTTAGAGTCTATTAAAAAGTCGTCTCTAAATTTAAATTTAGATTTTCAAATCTCCAACCTTTAGTATCTTACACATGGTTCATTGACTTAGTTAATTTCAATCAATTGTGCAGTTGGGTCATGATAAAAAAATTTAGAGGTAAAATCGTCTTAGACAATATTAGCAACATAATAACTTGTTAGATAGGAACTCCCAAACGATCAAATGTATCGGACATATTGGTCAAGTTTGAAGATTAGAAATGACTTTGCAGTAGGCTCTAAAAACTGGGGGCTAAATGTGCAATTTTTCATGTGGGCATTCAAGTGGTTTGTCATCTTCTTTCTTTTCCCCTTTTACATGGACTAGTATAGTTGGGTTGAAAATGATTCCCTATTATGTTTTCCAAATTAGAAACGTATCAATTCAACTATATGGTGGCTAAAATTTCGTCCATGTTTGATTTTTTTAAAAATAATTTTTTAATAATAAACTTTGATAAAGATTGACGAAGAGCCAATTTGATTTTGAGATCTAAATGCTTTTTTGACCGGTAAATGCTTATTTAATTTCATAAAAGTATTCATATAAAAAAGCAAAATGACTTGAATCTATACATTGATTCAATGAATTTCTAAAAAATTTTAATTTGACTTAGATATTCAAATAAATAGAGTAATAGAAAATAGGGATAGAGTAAAAAATATACGTCTTTACATTTTTTTATTATTATTAAAAATTTTATCTCCGCCAAATGACCTGTAAATGTGTGAGGAAAAAAATTGATAAAAATTGTGGGTCTTATGAAATGCATGTTAAAATTATTAATTGTGGATTTCAATTTATTTATTTATTTATTTATTTTCATTTTTTTAGTTAAATGAAATAGGAAAAATGTTCAGTCTTGGTGATGGTTATTTTCTGGAAGCTTTGTCCTTAAGTTCACATTTCATTAGTAATAAATGAGCATTAAAATGTTAATATTATTAAGAGGAATAATTCAAAATCTTTCCTTTTGATTAATATTTTTGTATTAAATGTGATTTGAGATTATACCCTTAAAAGATAATGTAATAAATAACATCTTTTGTCATAAAACTTTTATTTAACAATTTAGAAAGTCAGCCGAATACTTGAATTAATGTTCAAAAATGTTACAACGTGCTTTTGAATAATATTTGTTCAGAAATAAAATATTGGTAGTCTGAGCATTTAAATTTCATTAATTGCTAGTTGACCGTTGGTTGCTGGTCTACTCTGGAACCTCAGGAGTATATCTCTACGGCTTAAGAGTGTTTGTTCAAAGCTTAACAAGTCTAGACTTTTGCTTATAAGTGAATCATAAAATAAATAATTTATGGCCAATCCTTGTTCTCCTTTGAAATAAGACCTCCTTTGAAATAAGACTTTTTTTTAATCTAAAAGTAAGAAATTATTAACTTATCGTTATGAATTACTTAAAAATAAGATCAACTTCTAAATTTAGCCAAACATACCCTATATATTTTCTGAGTTAGTCTACATGTGACGCCCCATTGTACCGACCTCCTCAAAACAGGGGGCCCACGATTTTTTTTTAGTTGTGGACCCCCTTGTGAGAGGTCAGTCAACCCCGATGTACAAATATAAAAATCCATATTTGCCCCTCGGAGCATATACCAATGGTGCAAAGAATAAGGGTGAGGTATACTCAGCCTTACTGACAGTCGCAGTGTGAAGGTTCGACTCCTGAAATATGGATTGAGACTTTTTGTGGGCATCATTTTACAGGCAGCTCTTGTTCCCTGGTTTGCTGAGGTACATCGCGCGATTAAACTCTCTCATGATGCTCCAGAGGAGGGATCGTGGGGGACTTAAGGATGGGGTTCAACTTTTTTTTTTTTTTTTTTTTTTGTTAGAAAAATCCATATTTTCTTGCATGTGACCACCGAAAGATCCAATGAGAATGTAAGACTTTGATTTTCTTCTCTTTGAACAGCCGCAATCTCTTACCAGAATATGCAATTAAGCATTTTCTTGTCCATCCACACTTTTTCCTTATTAGTTCATTCCTCCATACTCGTAAATTTATGACTTATTTTCTTCGCTAATTTTGCATTTCTACTTATGGAAATTAGTAACATTGAAGTCCCCGAGTATTTCATCTGTCCAATTTCTCTACAAATAATGAAAGATCCAGTAACAACAATTTCAGGGATCACCTACGATCGAGACAGCATTGAGAACTGGTTATTCAAGAATCACAACACAATTTGTCCAGTCACGAAGCAACCTTTGCCAAGAGATTCAGATTTGACTCCAAATCACACTCTCCGCCGTCTGATCCAAGCATGGTGCACTGTGAATGCTGCATATGGTATTGATCGAATTCCGACGCCGAAACCTCCACTTAGCAAATTTTATGTACTGAATCTTGTTAGAGATCTTTGGCTCCCTGATTTGCAAGTGAAAACACTGCAAAAGTTGGAAGGAATCGCTGTGGAGAATGACAGAAATAAAAGTTACATGGTGGAAGGTGGTTTAGTTAAGGCCTTGATGTATTTTATCATATCATGTCATAGGAAACGTCAAACAGAAGGTTTAGAAGAGGCTCTAAGTCTGTTTTACCTTATTCGAGGTTTATTAGGCCAAGAAAAGACACCCTTGTCCCAAAACGAAGAAATCGTCGAATCCTTAACTTGGGTTTTAGGTTTCGATGGGATTCTTGATCACGTAGCCCTGAAAGTGCACGCCGCATATGCACTGAAAGCCGTTACCGAAAAGGCAAATTCAAGCACGCTAGCAAAATTGAAGCCAGAATTTTTCGACAAGATTGTTCGTGTTCTACGGGGTGATATCTCACAGCAAGGATTAAATGCCCTTTTACACGTTTTTCTAAAAACTTGTCCATTTGGGAGAAATCGGATAATGATGATCGAAGCCGGGGCAGTTTTCGAGCTCATTGAGCTTGAATTAAATATCCCAGAAAAGAAAACCACAGAACTTATACTGGGAATCTTGTTTCATTTATGTTCTTGCGCAGATGGAAGGGCTCAACTTCTGAATCATGCGGCTGGTGTTGCAGTAATCACAAGGAGGATTCTGAATGTTTCAAACACAGCAGATGATAGAGCCATTTTGATTATTTCAGTGATCTCTAAGTATTCTGGAACTAATGGGGTACAGCAGGAAATGTTGAGGGTTGGAACTGTAGTGAAGCTGTGCATGGTGCTACAAGCAGATTGTGCCGTACATCTAAAGGATAAAGCAAGAGAAATCCTAAGAACACATTTTGATGTGTGGAAGGACTCTCCTTGTATTGATCTTCCCACCTTAACAAGGTACACAAGGTGATCCATATCGGAACGGTACTAAATGGTACCAAAGATCGAAATAAGGTTAAAATTTTGTTCATCGTACTATTCAGTTTTGTTAAGTTCTATGTGAGGAACATTATAGTCATTATTGGACTTTGTGCCGTTGAAATTGATTTAGTTTGATGATAATGATCCTTTTTCAATTTTTTTTTTTCCCTTTTCTCTGGATAAGTACTGCTATATGTAGTAAGAAATTATCCTAATTTATTTCATCAATGTAACAATAAACAGGGATAAGATTTTCTACAATCTAGTGGTATATATAACTGAAAATACGTGACTTCTACTTTTCATCTCAAACAAAATTTTCTATGGCGTTATTTTTGTTATCAGTGTGAAGGAAATTAATAAAAAAAATTCAATATCTTGTTCAATTATTGGGTTTGTTTGAAATAATTCTCCTTTTCCTTTGTTTCTCTGGTATTTTTTGATGCTTGCTAGTGAGAATTTTGGGTATATTTTAGTTGTAATATAAGCAAACTTGGGTTGAATATTAGCCTGCGACACAGTTTGGCAGCTGAACCAGTTTTTTTTTTCTCCCTCTTTTTATATGAGATGAGCATATCATATTTTATCACAACTTGGCAAACTTGAACGAAGACAGTGAGGAGTTTCAGAAATTTATTGTTTGCTGTTACAAATGGACGCTATGGCACGGGGCATTGATTAGTCTAAGTTTTCGCGACGAGTAGCACTTGAGAATGGCCTTGTCTGTGGTAGCAGCGAATGCGGTTGCCTAGCAAGGGTGAAAACTATGGCACGGGGCATTAATTTCATAGTTCGCCTCATGCCCCGAAAATCTCAAGTATGGCCTTTAATGTGTGTTTAGGCAACATAAGAAATACATAGTATATAGGACATTCTTCTGAATGTTAAAAAAAAAAATAATAATAATAAATAAATAAATAATAATAATAATAATAATAATAATAATAATAATAATAATAATAAATAAATAAATTACACTCCTCAATCCACCATAAAATCCTTATCGAGTAATATCTATTATAACTTATACTAAACTTTTTACACGATCTAATATGATGCACTACATGTCGTCTCATGGCATCTTTAGTAACATCAATTACACAATACGTTTAAAAAAAAAAGTTGAATTTGTATTTTCATTGTACTATTCAAAACAATACAATATTACATAATATTTGTTGCAATGGGAACAAGAATTTGTCATTGATCTCTCTCTACCTATAAACAAAAAAAAGGAAAAGAAAAAAGAAAAAAGGGACCAATTGAATGTAAATTTTGCAGACAAATAACACTATGACTGAGTTTCAGTAAAATATTAATAAAAGCCTTGGAATTGGAAATATTCAAATGACAAAACTAGTACTCTAAAGGTCACATTAAGCAATTAAAAAGTTATCTCTAAGCAATAAAGGATGATAGCTAGTGGTCGTTGATGCAATTTGCCATGTGAAGGGTTGACATTTTTTTTAAAAATAAAAATTAAAGTTGGTCGGTCGACCTTCATATTGCTTTAAAGCTCAACTTTTTGTTTTCAAGTTTCTCTAATTACTTAATCACATTGCTCCATTAATCTTCTATAGACATAATTTAATATTTTTGTCATATAAACATTAATGAAAAATATTTTTAACCAAAAAAAAAAAAAAAAATAGAATCGCGTTCCTTGAGAATTATTTATATAGTAGGTTTTTTTATTTTTTGGTTATCCTGATATTGAATTGTATACTCTTGAGTATCATCGTTGTATTTAATAATTTATTGGAGATGTATGTCAAGCTCGTTGATAATATATAAAACAATAAATATATAAGACTAAATGAACATAGTGAATATTTTTAAACTATCTAGAAGTACATTCCACTAGTTAGTAAATTACTATAGATGTATCGTATTAATTTAGAGTTGTTAGATTGCATACAACTCCATTCATCCAATTCCACACGAATAAGCTCATCTCAAAATTTAGTCTTATTTTATTGTGCACATATAATTATTTATTAATACAATAATTTCATTAAATGAAAATCCTAGAGATTTTGACTTTTTTTTGGTTGACTTAAACAGAGATAATGATAAAAAAATGATCAGGCAAATACTCATAATACAAAAATTAATTGAAAAAACTCCGTGCAGTTCGAGCCGGTGCCAACCTAGTTTGGTCAATATGGGCTGCCAACTGTGTGAATTAATATGCACCGGTGGTTCTTTACTATTTTAATCGGTGGTTGTCGGTCTGGAATGCAAGTACAACGAAAGTTGAGATCAATTTGATAAGATTTCTATTTTACTTTTACTTTTTATATAGAAATACTTTTTAAAGTGTTATCATAGATCATCTTCATTTAAAAACTCTTGTAAGTGATCAAAGTACTTCAAAGAAATTATTTAAATATGTTCAGAAGCAAATTTTGCCAAACCGGCCCTTATTAAAACAAAATTGGAATTTACCTGATCACCCCAAAACCTATCAATCCCGAACTCGAGCACGTTGCCCCTATCAGGCCCGAGGTGGAGCACGTAGCCCGAACTTCGCCTCAGCCAAATCCACCAATGCGAGGTCGGGCATATTAGGTCAGGGTTATGTCGTTATGTCTAGCCTTTCTGACGACCTATGAGAACACAAATCCTGTCCAACCTACAATCCTTATCCAATTTGACTATTTCTTCGACTCAAACAATGTTTGAACACTTGGAATGAAACACTAACTCCTTATCCTACGAGGATAAGGATCACAAAAGGATAAGTCCCTCTAGGATTCTATCATTAACACCTATAAATACACAACTCGAGCTTATTCTTGAGGTACGTTTTTCATTATCTCCAGTTTATAGCCTCACGCATATAATTCTCTTTCTGATTTAAATATCGAAGGGGTAACGAACACATATCTCGTTGTCTTTGTTGCAGGTATTCAAAGATCGTTCGTGTTCATCAAAGTTCGAAGTTCGATCATCAAGTTCGATATCTTTCAGGCAGTAATTTTTGGTAGCATCATTACCAAATTCTAATCCTTATCCCTTTTACTCCTTCATGGTAATTAAGCACGACTTGATCATCTGTTCTAAATTTTTAAAGAGAGAAAGTCAACTGCAGAAATGGCAACCAATAATATGCCCACAAACAAACTCGTAAGACTTGGTAAACTTGTCATTTGCAAATTACATCTTAGAAAGTCAAAGTCCAAATTTAATTTCTTTTAATAACCAAAAAAAAAAACGAAAAAAAAATTATACTCTGTCCACACAAACTGCACAAACACAATTTTTCGTGTTTTGACTTTCCCATTTTGAATCTCTCTCTCTCCCCCTTTATAAAACCGAATCCTCCAAACTCCTAATCCATACAATTCCTCAACAGCTTCATCTTCTTTAAATTACTAATAGCTTACAAATTTTTTCTACTTCTTTTCTTGCTTAAAATTGTATAATCACTTTTTTTTAGTGAGAATCTTAGGTTTACCAAATCTTGATCTTTGTAGCTGCTTGTGCTATGGATGAAATTGAAATTCCATCCTACTTTCTCTGTCCTATCAGTCTAGAGATTATGAAAGACCCCGTTACAATCTCAACTGGTATAACATATGATCGGGAGAGCATCGAAAAATGGCTGTTTTCTCAGAAAAATAACACCTGCCCAGTAACGAAACAAGTTGTTATTGGTTCAGAATTGACACCAAACATCACTCTCCGGCGGTTTATCCAATCATGGTGCACCCTCCATGCTCCTGACGGCGTCAAGAGGCTTCCGACCCCGAAAGCTCCAATCAGTAAAACCCAACTTTTGAAGCTTTTCAATGATGCCAAGTCTCCAAATATGCAAATGAAGTGCTTACAAAGACTTAGATCCATTGCTTCTCACAACGAAGCGAATAAAAGATTCATGGAAACAGCAGGCACGGCCGAGTTCTTAGCTTCGTTAATCGTGAAAAAAGACGTAGAGGCATCTTCAGCAGAAGTATCAGAAGATGTGATTGAGTTGAGAAGAGCCAGTAATGAAGCCTTAAGCATTCTCTATCATCTCCAGCTATCGGGATCCGGCCTTAAATCTCTCTTGGAGAGTAATATCGAATTAATCGAGTCCTTAACAAGCATCATGCAATCTGGGAACTATGATTCTCGAGTCTATGCTGTCATGCTTCTGAAATCCATGTTCGAAGTAGCTGACTCAAATCAACCAATCAATCTGAGAACCGAATTTTTCCTCGAATTAGTCGATATATTGAACGATCAAATTTCTCAGAAGGCATCAAAAGCCACACTGGAAACTCTTATCAGTGTATGTCCATGGGGAAGAAACAGAATCAAAGCAGTGGAAGCTGGAGCAGTGCCTTTGTTGATTGACCTTTTACTTGATTCTTCAGACAAAAGGGCTTCTGAATTGATGCTTATGGTGTTGGATTTGTTATGCCAATGCGCCGAGGGAAGAGCTGAATTGTTGAATCACAGTGCAGGATTAGCCATTGTTTCGAAAAAGATTCTTAGGGTTTCGTCTGCAGCAAATAAGAGCGGTATAAAAATTCTACATTCGATATCGAAATTCTCTGCAACTCCTGGAGTTTTACAAGAAATGTTGCAGATTGGTGCAGTGACAAAATTGTGTCTTGTACTTCAAGTTTTTGATCGAGGATCAAAGACAAAGGAGAAAGCAAGAGAAATTCTTAAATTGCATGCAAGAGCATGGAGGAATTCTTCATGCATACCTACGCATTTGTTAGCTTCATATCCTTCTTGAGGTGGAATTTTCTTTTTCTTTTTTTCTTTTTTTAATTTTTATGTCTGTGGGTGTCTGGACCAATTTATGCGAACCTCGACTAATCCCACGGAACCCTAAAATTTACAGTCGAGTACTCACCTCATTATCCATGAGGGGACTCGAATTAGTGACCATTGGGGAGTAAACCAAAGGCCCGATCACTGAACTACCTCTTAGAGTTCCTTCTTGAGATGGAATTATAATTAGGAAATAGAAATAATTAATTTAATTGCATAAATTTATGTTCATATAATTAAAATTCTAAGCCAAAATGTTGTCCGTATATAAATTTCAATTTTATAAACAATTATTGTATTAACTCTTTGGAAAGTTGGGTTTTAATGGGAAAGGTTCACCTTCTTGTCTTTTTCTTCTCTGCATCAATTTCTCTTTTTCGTTTGTCAATTGAAGATTGATTTAGAGACTTAATTGAAATGAATTTGAGTTAATCGAGTTAAATACAAACTCAGAAGAAGTCAAGGTCAAATAATTTTGATTTTTGATCGTAAATTTTTTTATTTATGTTTAATATCAAATGATTAATAGTAAAATGAATCAAGCTTGACTAAATTTTAGCTAGCCAGTTGATAGATCTCTAATGAGGTTTAGTGGTAGTTCTCGAGTTGAATTTCCAAAGTTTTACTTTATTTTTCAGCTCTAAAAATGAGAAAAAGTAAATACTCATGATGTATTTCCTTATTTAGCTCATGCCTTGGTCAGAATTTTAGCAAAAAATGGATTCTTTGGTGTCAACGTGTAAGATATAATTTATGTTATGTTGATAATTATGAAAATGTCAACTTCTAGCTGAAAATCTCAGCAATCAGTTGTTATTGCAATGACCAATTAGCCCTTCATTATGATCGCCCAAGAAAATAAACTGGGATAAGGTTTGAAGAAATGCAATAAGGGGCATAATGGTCATTTTAAACGCATGCTCAAAGGTGAAAGTGAAAAAGAAATTTTTTTCAATTAGTGGTGAGTCTGCATATATAAATGTTTTAATTAGATGTGACAATTTAGCTTCAAACTATTGAATTAAGCTGATTTGCCACAGAAAAATTATGTCCACTTGTTCAACCTACACTCGCATGTGTATGGGATTCGGGTGAATAAATTTTTTTTAAAAAGTGCCCCCTATTGTGATTGTACTGTCACCCTCCTTGCCAACAAAGTGCATTGCAAAATAACATATTTGTTAAAAATGTGATTAAGATCACAATCAGACATGTACTTTGTTGAACAATCGACCTTCAATGGTAGATTTTTCGGGTTCAGTTTAATCAATCTCATGAGAAGTGTGGTTTAGTTATTGTCGTTGTGCGGAATCAATATGCGGATGGACCTAATTTATCTTAGAACATGGAGCTATCCTTAGGGTTTTATATTACCATCATAAAAAAGAGGTTAGAAAAAATAGAGTCCCTATTTGGTGCCCATTATTTAAAAAATATATATAAATAAATAATGTGAATATTATTTTTAGAAAATGTGTGGTTAAAAAGTAGGAAAACGTTTTGAGTTTACGTGCAGAATATTTTATTGTGTGAACATATGATTGAAAATGATCATGTAGTAAAAAAAGTTTTAAAACAATAGGCACCAAAGAGAGGTAGAATGTGCAATTTTTTTCTTGTATAATTTTTTTTATCATAGTGAATTATTGAAGCGACGAAAATTCAAAGTGAGGCAAACCTCTATAAATTTGTGTGTGTCATTGGGACTATTTTACTTTTATGAATTTATTGTTATTGATGGTAAAATTAAGATTTCTAATTGTCAACAAAAGAAATAAAATTTAAGTGAATTAGTTCGAATTTAACTTCATCTGTTAATTGTATAACCTAATCTAAATCAAATTAAAGTTCTCTCTCTTGAAAGTGCCTTTTTTTTTCCAAGATTTGCGGAAATAACTATCAGTTACAAAATTACTTAGGGTTCATTTGATTGTAAGAATGTAATTTGAGTGGAAAGAAAACGAATTTTAAGGAACTGAATTGCCTAGAACTTATTTTACTGTGAATTGTCAATTAAATGTGTTTGATTGATATAATTTTTCACCTAAAAAATATTGAAATTTTGGAGCCTTTGGTGTTCGTTTAACTTTGTTTTTCATGAAAATTGTCAATTAAATGGATATAATTTGTTACAATTGCAGATAGAATTTGTTTCAATTGCCAAAAAAAAATAATAAAATAAAAAAGAAAATGGAAAACTAAATTCCCACCAAAATTAATGGTGTGTTTGATTAGCATGAAAAATATCACCTAGAAAAGAAAATGTTTTCCATTTTTTGTGGAAAATAAAAACCATCTCTACCCAAGGAAAATATCTTCCTTAAAAACAAGGAAAATTAGGCATATTTTCAAAAGTTGGAAAATGTTTTCCATGGAAAAAAATAGCAATCAAATACTCTAAGTAAGAATTTGGGTGAAAAACTGATATATTCCATGAAAAATTAATGTAATCAAACACACCCTAAATGATTGATTTTGCTTAAAAAGCAAGAAAATGGGTCATGTTGGGGGTAGGGTAGAAAAACAATTCCATGGAAAATTTTGGTTATCAAACAATACATTTGGGTGGAAAATTTCCATGAAAAATAGAGGTATCAAACAGGCCCTTATTTAAAATAGTTGGGAACTTAAGAGTTCAAGCACGATGAGTTGAGTTCATTGTGAAAAAAAATCCATCTTCTTTTTCTTTTTCTTTCTTTTTTTTTTTTTTTTATTCCCGAATCTGGATTACGTTTAATTGCAAATGTAACCATTTTCATGATTTGTAATTAAGAAAGTAAAATAGCTCCCTAGTCGACTTTCCTTTACAATAATTATCTAGTCAAAATTTACAAGAGCTAGTTCTTCTATACATTCGGTAGCCCGAAGACACCCGAATTCTACTTGTGTCTAGCAGCTGCCAGTTTATTTTATTGGCAGGAGAAAAAGGCCAATATATCAGCTTGCTTTCTAAAAAACTGATTCCATTCCATCCATTGAGAAAGCACGATGAATTTCCTCTACCAGCTTCCACATATCTAGGGATGACAACGAGACGGGTTCGAAAATTCTACTCGTGTCTAAATTTTTTGGGCTCACGAACCCAGCAACTTTCAATTTATTTTATTGGCAGGGGAAAAAGGCCAATATATCAACTTGCTTTCTAAAAAACTGATTACATTCCATCCATTGAGAAAGCATGATTAATTTCCTCTACCAGCTTCCACATATCTAGGGATGGCAACCGGGGGTGCCTCCACCCGGCCCCATCTTGCCCAAACAGGCAGGGCGAGGAGGGGAAGGGGCAACTTTTTGCCCCATTTGTTGCCTCATTTAATTTTTTTATATTTTTTTACATTTTCAAAAGTTCGAATTATGTTATTATTAGGGAATAAAATACAAATTTAAAATAAGTTTTTAACGAATAAATTATCTAGAAATAAAATTATTTTTAATCTTTTTTTTTTATTTTTTTTTCTTCTCGGGGCAGGGCACCCTCGACGGGGCGCTTCACCTTGCCCCGCCAACTTGTTCGAGGTGGATTTTTTCGCTCCATTCGAAGCGAATTTTTTTGCCATCACTACACATATATGCAACATTGAGAAAGTTAAAAAGGGTAAAAAACTTGAATGGTCCTCGTACTTTATACTTTGTGCGCATAAGTCCCTAAACTTTAAATCATACTTCATTTGTTCTCAACTAAAACATTGTGAGTCTTATTAGTCCCTTTGTCTGCCTCAGCCATTCCGACTAAAGAAAATGATAGAGTTGACATGGGGAACTGTTTATGTAGACGTTAATTTTTCCAACCCAACATATAAAAATACATGGTTGTACTATAAACAAATCTATTAATTATTTAAAATGATTTCTCTACTTTAATCACTCCTTTATGTATGAAATATATAACTTTAGATATATATTTTGAAATATTCCATGAGTTGTCAACGAATTTTTTGCCATATTTGTGACAATCTAAGGACATTTTTTGTCCTTTCTTTCAAAATTGGTCATTTTAATGAAGGATCATTATATTGTCTCCATTATTTTTATTTGATACACCACATTTAAATTGCAACTAAGTTTCTCAATTTTCTTTTTCATTGTAGCAATTATTTTCTTAACCTTTTTTTGTCGAACTCGTCCTTGATGATGATTTATATCAAAACATTTGTTTTCATGCTTTAAATGAGGAAAAAATATTTTTTTCTCACTTTTTATTTATTTATTTTTTAAAAATATGATGAAAAATAAGTTGTTTTATTTCATTTCAATGGACCTTTGGACATAAAATTGTTATCAAATACAAAATATATTAACTAATGAAAAGTTTGAAAGTAAGAATGATATGAAAAATAATTAGGGACATAAACTTTATAAAAAGCAAAGATTAAGAACCTTAAATACAATTAAAATATGGTGCAATAAATAAAAATTGTGATGTGAATATAACTACTCTTCAAAAGAAAAAGGAATTTTTGCCATATTTGTGACAATCCAAGGATATTTTTGGCACTTTCTTTCAATAGTGGCATTTCAATGAAAAAATAATTTCTACCATATTAGTGACAAGAGTGATTATACTGTCACCATAATTTTTATTTGATACACCACATTTAAATTGTAATTAAACAATATTTACTCATTTTAACAATTATCTTCTTAACTTTTTTTTCATCGAATTCTTATATTCAATTAGTATGTCTTGTCCTTAATGATGATTTATATTAAAATATTTTATTTTCATGCTTTAAAAATATTTTTATGTAGCTTTTATTTTTTAATTTTTTTGAAATTTTGATGAAAAAATAGAACTTTTGAACATAAAATTATTATCAAATATAAAATGTGTCAACAAATGGAACATTTGAGGATAAGTATAATATGAAAAATCATTAAGGACATAAGTGATATAATAAGCAAAGACTAAGAACCTTAAGTACAATTAAAATATGGTTTAAGAAATAAAAAATGTGATGTGAATATAATTACACTGACAATCTAAGGATAGTAATTTCTTTCAAAGTGCCCATTTGAATAATTTCTAGGAGAGTTAACTTATTGTTCTGTTTCTTGATATTCACAATTTTTATAACTATTTTAATTATATATTTCATCAAATTTTATTAAAATATATTAAAATCTGATTTTTATCTAAACCAATCAGAGGCTAGATTGTCTTCTCGGTTTCGTTTGTTTCACTACATTTTTTTATGTACTACGGAATAAAGAACTCTCAAATTACATAAATTTTGACCAAGCTATACTAAAAGTATCAGTCAACAAATATGAAGATAAATCACCCGCAGGGAGAGAGGGAGGACTAAAAATATGGAAGCCTAAACTTAAATGATTGAATTGACTGACCATCCAATCTGCACAGCAATTTATCTCCCTATGAACATGTCTTGTGGAGCAAAACCAATCACACTGTCGAAGGTCTTTAATAGCATCGATCAAATGAAAATAGTAGTGTAGACACAATTTTATCAACACCGAACGTCGAATTTTTGGTCATGAAATTAATGATGATAAAAATATAAAATAATATTAAGACAATACTAATAATGACATAGTTTTTGTATAAGCACTTCACATTTCACAGGGCAATACAATTCTACGAATTCATAGGACAAATTTGTGAATTCATATGGCAATTCCACATAGCAATACTATAAGAAACTCACATTTCATAGAGATATACTATAATCACTACACAATTTCGCAGGGCAATATATACTATTTTACAAATTCTAGTGACAGAGTAAGCAACTAATAATTACAGGAGACCAGAGGCAGCAATTAACTAGAAGTCTATCTGCTAGCAAAATCAATTGAAGTGCTATGTGTAGACAGTACCGTAGTAGGCTTCGAGTAATTGAATAGCAAAGTACTAATTTCATATATTAAAAAGAAAAAAACTAAACATTATTACAATTTACACAAATCAAAATAACAAAAAAATAATGCCAACGAATCGCTGGCTGCCTCAAAGCCTCGAACTATCAAACAAACAGAGCCGACGCAACAGAGTCATGAACATGGTAGCAACAAAAAATGAATGGCGAAAGTTGAAAAATGACAAGTCTGGCTTCAAGAGGAGGAGACTGAATGGCATCGGGACTGGGTGGGAAGAGTAGGCGGAGGGAGGCGATGGAGCG